CCCATTACTTTCATTTATGACTAAACGGCCTTGAAAGTCAATAGAGGATGGCTGTTTTGTGGCCTCTTTGTAAGCGATCTATATGTTCTTCTAAAACACAAATCTAGTCAAAAACCAAGTTTCAAACCAAGAAACTGAGAGACCCCAAAGGTCTCTTAAACGATCTTACGGGTGGTGACGAAGTCCACACCTTAGTCTCAAAGGTTGCTTACTGAGTTATATAAAACAGATAGTATTTAACAGGTATTCAGGAAACGTGTGAACAAAATTCACCCCACAGGTTTCCTGTCAGAAAGTCAAAACTGCTTCGATGGAAACTAGGTTTTTTATCACGTTTAAAATTAACAAAAGCACTCATAACGAAGGCTCGGAAAAACTGAACGTTACGTCTTATTTAACCGAACACACTTCGGGCACAACTGGAGTTGTGTTCGGATAGAGAAGATACATGCAGAATGAAGGTGTTATGGTTGAAGACTTATCAGAAGCATTGTAATACCACATTTGCACGTTCCTAACCCTCAGCTGTTCCCGAAGACGAACATACATGAGGACGACCGGAGTGCAGCATCGGCTCTAATCAATCAATTTCAAATGCACAGACGCGTGATGGCAACTTCATAAAACCTTCTAGAACAATATTAATTTAAAATATGCATAAGACTAAAGGATGTCAGTGGGTAAACGTCCTCCTCACGGTGGAGATCGATGTTACAGCCTCATGCCGGCTTTACAACACAGAGAACGATTTATATACAGATTAAGAGATTTACAGAATTAACACTGGAGAAAAGAAACCACTGGTATTGAACCGGTCAAATAGTCTTGTAATCCTATATCCCATTTTAATAAAATGAAACTCCAATTATCTCTCCTGGGCCTGGCGATTAAAACAGCAGCACATCATCATCGGCGTATCAACCCTTGATGTTGACCTACCCGCTGCCCAGGTGACCCGTGACCTTCGCACAGAGCTCCGCCCACCGATCGCGCCGCTCAGCAGCTGCTGGACCTCTCCTGCTCTGCATCGCTCGCAACACTCAGCACATCAGGCTTGACCTGAAAAACAACACACAAACACACATATAGCTAGAATATAATAAGCAATGTGCAATGAATCGGGGAATGTACACATGAAATGTTACAGGAGTCATAACTGACGGTCATAACAGGAGGAAGATGTTCTCCTCTTAAACTTCAAATAACAAACTTAGATTATTTAGGTCACGTTAGAACTGTTTACTGAGTTTGATTTGATGGAGTTAGTCAACTTCATACATCATGTGTCAGAGATATATCCATATTATCAGTATATAGCAATATAGGACAATACAGATAGATCATTTTAACCAAAAACAAAAGTCTTCCCCCCCCCTGGGAAAGACCCTACCTCTTTTCTATCATTAAGATAACTGACATATTTCATATTATATCAATGTACATATATATATATAATAATACATATTACACACAATATTACATATATTAATAATAAACACATATATACATATATATATATACATATTATATATAATATAGCACAAACACATATATATAATATACACACATGGAGTGTGGTTTTACTAAATATTTTTATTTAAAAGATTTTGTATTTATAAGCAGTATATAATAGGGCTGAAACTAAAGATTAGTTTCTTCACAGAGTAAATTTGTCAATCATTTTTGTTTTTTTTATTAACTACAAGTCGTTTTAACTTGTTTAACAGGCTCAGTTTAATACTGATGCCTCTATGATTTACATAAACAAACAAAACCAGAGAAAAAAATGTCTTTTTATTGATTCTTAATGTCTAATGCCACCGGGTCGGATTCCCATTGAAATCAATGAAAGAGGGCAGTAAACACTACCGCATTTGTCCACAGGGGCGCCAGAATCAACACAAAATGAAAGTCCCTGTTGCTGCTTTAACCGATTGGCTTTTTGCGTCATAAAATGTCAGATAATTATAAAAAATTATTCATCACAACCCAAAGATATTCAGTTTAGAGAATTTGGGACAATTTGTTTCTTTAAAAAATAACTCAAAACAACTAATCTATCATCAAAATGGTTGGTGATTAATTTTTTTTAAAGTTATTTTTATTGCCCTTTTATTGATAGTGACAGCCGAAGATAGACAGGAAAGGGGGGGCAGAGAGAGGGGACACACGCAGCAAAGGGGCAGGTCGGATTCGAACCCGGGCCGCTGCAATAACTGCCATACATGGTCACCAGCTCTACCGACTGAGCTAACCGGGCCACCTGGTTGGTGATTAATTTAAATAATAATATAACTGATGAATAGTGACAACTAATCGACTTATTGTTGCAGCTCTAGTGTATAAAAGGTATATTAAATATAAAAGGTTTATAACACACTGTAATGTACTTTATACTGTTTATTAAGGCAGTGGGTTTCAAACAGGGGTCGCCAGCAAAAGGAGGGGAACAAAAGAATAGTTTAACTTTTATCACATTTTTTGGAAGTTGGAACAAGGAGGGAAGAAACAGAGTTGGTTGTGATCCCTGTTTGATTATTGATTGACTGATGACTTTATAATATATAATTACTAAGAGAGGACTCCTTAAGGCAAAATCCCCTCAGATAGCGGTCTCACCCTCGGTGTCTTCTTCTCCCCTCAGAGTCTCCAGCAGGTGGGTGAGACTGAGAGCAAGGTGGTGAAGGAGAAGGTGGTGAAGACTCTGGAGCTCTGTCAGTTCCTGGTCAAACACGTTCACCAGCAGGTAGGTGGCCGGTTGAGTGTGAGGAGTCATGAGAGGGAGCTGTTGATGTGGTTTCTGGTCCAGACTCAAGTCTCTGCTTCCTGTGTAGAAGCTGTCTGTGGACCTGGAGCCCCTTCAGAAGGTCCTGCAGTCCCTGACCAGCGTCATCGCTTTCAAGAAGACCGGCAAGCTAGAGGACACCTACTGGGCCGTGGTGAAACACTTCGGAGTCATGTGAGTTGTTGTGGTTGTCTATGTTGAGAGATGATTCTCTTGTGGTGTTTGCGTACACATAACGAATACTGAATGCTCTGATCCTTCTATGAAATCTCTCATGTTCAAAAAGAAAACGACTGAAGGACACATACAGAAATATTAACTTTTAAACACCACAAATGTGCCGATTATTGGCCGACTTTAAGTAAAAATATGCAATTGGCAGATTGGGAGTAATGCTTTGATGGCAAAAACATGTGTGTATGTGTGTATTGTTGTCCTGGAGGAGATCCCAATACACTAATACACTTTAAAACAGCCAAACTAACTGATCTATAATAGGCTGTACCAGCTGCTATAAAAAGAGTCAGTATTGGCGACAGACTGTATATTTAAAGTTAGATAGAGCCGTCGTGAAGCTCAGTGTGGTCGGCTCTGGCTGTCGCAGTCTTGGCAGTCCTGACTCCGCCGGGTCCCGACTAATCCAAAAATGAGCGAAGAGATGGAGCTGAATGAAACCTGGTTACTGAAAAGATATATAACTTTAAGCCTTAATATGATTCAAACAGGAGAGTTGTATAAAAATTAACCCTTCGTACAGTCGACATCAACGGGGAAATTAACTCTAGAGACTAAAACTGTTGTTTGTATCAGGCTGTAAACATGTTTATTTCTGCTGTAAAGTTAGATATTTTAATATGAGGCCCTTATGGAGATTGACTCACTGCTGGAGCCAGCCTCTAGTGGCCATTAGAGGAACTGCAGGTTTCTGTTACTTCCATATTGGCTTCATTTGCAGCCACAGAGGTTGCCGCTTGGTATTAGTTTTTGTAAATCACTATTCAGTTATGGTAACTGTGAAACAAATTCAATTTTCAATTCAATTTTATTTGTATAGAACCAAATTATTACAGACATTTTATACAGACTGTTACTGAAACCACAGATTTAATCTATTTATTTCTTCTTTTAACGTATAATTAATGAATTAACATAAGGAATGAATTGATTTTAATCACAGAGGATCACTTTACCAAAGGATTTATATATAAAAAGATGATTTATTTACAGCGTTTTGAAGCCGTCATGTTGACCTTGCGTTTGTTTCCATGTTCACATTCGCAGAAAACCCAAAGTAGAAAAGAAGAAACCCGACAAGGACACCGACCAACAGCAGGCGCCCAAAAAGAAGAAAGGTTTTCTGCCAGAAACAAAAAAGCGTAAAAAGCGCCTGCAGCCTGTTTTAGAGCCGGCGGGAGACAGCTCGACCTCCGCAGACAAACCGGGAGCAGACAAAGGACAAGCCAAAAAGAAACATGACAAGAAAGCTAAACAGAAACGACCGGCCGACAGCGCGACCGCCTCTCAGCCGAACCCAGCCAAGAAAAGCAAGACGCAGTCCGACAGCACGCCAGCCAAGAAGAAAAAGAAGAAACCCAAACAGAAGAAAGAGGGAGGAGGGAAAATGTAAAGTGGACACTGCGGTTGAATTGTTCATTTCCTTTTTAAAAGAGGCTGTGTGGTCGTCTGTTCATTTTTCTACTGTCCGTACTTCGGACACTATGTTTCAGTGAGATATTAATATACGTGTTAATAACTTGTGTAGGAAGTGAATTCATATGGATTATTTTTCTAATGTGTGACTGATGTTGATTAGAAAGAAAACAATAAATTCTCTTCCTGGAAATCGATCAAAGCTCTGCTCCCGTTTCAGAACAATTCTCTCATCAGGTTCATCTTATTAAACATTTATAAGTTAGTGAAATGTAAAAGGACAGTTACTCAGTCAAAGCTCACAGTCGTGGCCCCACAGATCCATCCAACATACAGACAGAAGATACAACCATTTGATATTTTTGCACTGAATATCCATTTTTAATGATTATGATAAAAATACCGCCTGAAAGTCGTCAAAATGTGTATATATTGTCTAAAAATACCAGAAGGTTGCTAAAACCCCCAAATTTCCCAGGAAAAATACTTGAACATGATTTTAGTGTTCTCAGTCGTAGCTTTGACCCTAGAACTGGTTCTCCCAGGATCAGACTAACACTGTTTTTAGGGAAGAACCTTTCTGGGATTCACTTTAAACTTAATGCTACAGGATACACAAAGGCACAGTTGTATATGAAAGTTTGGGCACCCCTTGATAAATAATACATTTTGGTGATTTTTTAGTTCAGAAGATGTAAATACAGCATCTCTATGATTAAATGTAAAGTAAATTGTCTAATAGAACAATATTAACATCAGAGACAAGAAAACTGAATTTTTTAGAAAAGAAGCCAATTAAGTTTGTATGGTTGTTAAAAAA